AAAAAAACAAAACAAAACAAAACAAAACCCACCAGGAAAATCCAGAATAACCTCCCCATCTCAAGATCCTTAACTTAATCACACTGGGAAAGTCCCCTTTACCGTGTAAGACATCTCCATGTCTTGTTTGGGGTGCCATTCTCCTGCCTTCCTGTCACTGACTCCCACAGAAGCTATCACACAAAATGATCCAGCCCACAGGGGTATTTTATTTAGCCTGCAGAGTCTTTTCTTAGAATCGGTTACCAACATTTAAAAATTACAAAAATTTTACCTAAAAATCCAGATCAGAAGATCTGGTCATTCTGGGGCTCACATTCTCACCTTGCAACCACTGGCTGGAACTGAGCTGCTGCTCTGCCTTTAGACGAGGCATCCACTTCACGAGTTCACTATAGTCCACGCCCGCTCCCTGATGCCTCCCACAATGAGGCTGAGCGTTCATTGCTATTGGTCAGTGCCCCTGACAGATTGTTTTTCTTGTAATGAAAAGGAAAGGTTGGGACTCGTGTCTCTCATCAAGTGAGAAGACAGGCCATGAGGCTGGAGTGTGTTTCAGGAAAGTGTTTTCTTACAGCTCACGTCCTTCAACTGTATGAACTCCCAGCCCGTTGCTTATGGGTGTTTGCCTTTATGGCCCCTGCTCTAGTCTGGGAGGAGAGGGATTATGCTAGAGCTTGTCAACACAGGCCAAAGATCACTATTCCTGTGACAAAATGCCTCCTTAAAAAAAAAATACAGCCGGGCTCGGTGGCTCAGCCTGTAATCCCACGCCTTTGGGAGGCTGAGGTGAGTGGATTGCCTGAGCCCGCGGGTTCGAGACCCGCCTGGGCAGCGAGACCTCATCTCTACAATAAATCAAAAAATCAGCCGGGCGTGGTAGCGCATGCCTGTAGTTCCAGTTACTCGGAAGGCTGAGGCAGAAGGATCACCGGAGCCCAGCAGGTCGAGGCTGCGGTGCCGGGAGTGGCCACTGCACTCCAGTCTGGGGGACCGAGTGAGACTCCAACTCAAAAAAAAAGAAAAAAAAAAATACACGTCATTGTACTCAATGAATTCACCTGGGAAACAGCCTTGTTCACTTGTTCACGTGGCTTCAGTGAAAGGAGTTTTACAGTCTCCTAAATAGTGCGTATGCCAAGATCTCAGGAATGTTTTCCTGGAGGGAGAATTTTTTTAGATTATACCCTTGGTGCTGCCTATAACACCCTTCCCTTTTGAAAGGCTGGCTGCTGCCCAGACACCCTTGGCCTCTTGACCCGAGGCACTGACAAACCCTCGCCATGAAGGGCCCAAGGAGGGCTGAGGCTCCCTTTTCTCGGCTGGAGGAAACTTACCTGAAGTCACCATTTGGGACCTTGGACCTCCATTCTCTGCCATCCCCAACCTTCTGGCCCTTTCCGAACACCACTGAATGCCCTGTATTCTGCCCAAGGCATGGCCAATCATCTTTAGGCTGGCTACCCATCCCCATCATACACATCACCATCATTTAGTTTCTCGCTACTGAGGGCTCAATTTCCTGGCCAAATTGCTGGTTCCCAAGACCTCAGGTGAATTCAGCATTTTCTGAAGCTATGCCCCAGTGAAGCCTGGATAACCTGGCTTTTTTTTTCTAAAGCCCAGGCCCCACTTATGTAAAATAGTTCAGGGTCACTGGAAACCACTCAAGCACCACTTGAAGTCTACCGTGTGCCAGCCCAGTGCCCATCCACACTGGGTCTGCTGGTGCACAGGTATCCCTCACGCCCATCTGCCAGGGCCTGTGAGGAAGGTTGGCGCCTGCAGAACAGATCTCCGGTGCTGTGGCCATTGCACATGAGGGGAAAGTCTCAAGGGAGAGTCAAGAGAGACAAGCACGAGTCCATCCGTCAGACACAATCTTGTAACGTTCGAGGACTGGGTTGTGTGCATCTCCAGTGCTTAACTGGAAATAACTTATTCGTTGTAGATAATTTTTAGGTTGCATTTTATTCATTTCCTATGCATTTTTTTAAATAAACAAATGTACCTAAAAAATGAGTCTCCAGTTAAATGCTTTGGCTGCTTGTTCCTGCTTCAGTAGAGGCACCCGTTTCCCAGCTGTTGTCTGTGACAGGCTCAACATGGGCTCAGCAGATGCTGTCTTCATGTGTTTATGGTACAGAAAGCCGGGCTTCAGACTACAAGCTCTTCCTTTCCTCCTCACTTGGTGGGCTGTGCAGTATGTGAAGCAGACGTTTTTGTCCTGAAATAAAACTGATGGTCTCGCGTCTCCTCACCACTCGTTTTCAGGTTTCACTGTATGCAAGTGGAAGGAATGGAAGCTGTTGCCAACCAGCGGGTAACTCAGAGGCCAAGGCTTGTTCTGTTCTGTTCTGTTCTTCCTCCTTTTTTTTTTTTTTTTTTTTGGGGGTCTCACTTCGTCACCCAGGCTGGAGTGCAGTGGCATGTTCTTGGCCACCCCAGCATCGACCAGCTGGGCTACAACAATTCTTCCACCTCATCCTTCCAAGTAGCTGGAACTACAGGCATGCCCTACCATGCCCAGCTAATTTTTATTTATTATAGAGATAAGGTCTCGCCAAGTTGCCCAGACTGTTCTCAAACCCATGGGCTTAGGCAGCCCCTCATCTCAGCCTCCCAAAGTGCTGGGAATACCGGCTTGAGCTACCACGCCTGGCCTCTGTTCTGTTCTTATTGAGGCAACATGAGCCCCCTCTGTGTGTTCATTCCCGATGTCTGACCCTCCTAGGGGCCTGAGACCACCCTAAACTCTGAATACAGTTAAGCGCGGTGCAGGTCACCAGCCAGCAGAACAGAAGTAAAGGGAGAGTGGTGGTCAAGGGAAGCCCCTGATGGCACCCACTATCCAACATGCACTTGGAGGGGAGACCCATGCACCCTGGGTAGAACACACCAAGGAGGCCAGATGTTCCTGCCTATTGAGCCACCCCAAGTTCAGTTTGCGGGCTATTTTCTTCACAAGTCTGTCATTGGAACAGGACTCAGCAGGGACTGCTTTACCTCTGCTCTGTGTGTCCTTAGCTGGGGTAGCACAACTAGAATCCTCTTTCAAGATGGCTCTATTACACAGCTGACAAGTCAGTGCTGCTGTTGACTGGGAACCAACTTGGACCACCCACAGGGCTCCTAGGACTTCTTCACAAAACAGTGGCTGGGTTCCAAGAGTGAGTGTTCTCAAGAGTCAGGAGGACAGAACTGCCTGTCTCTCAAGACCTGGGCCTAGACACAGGCTTGGCATCACTTCTATTCTGTGGGCATGTCAGTCACAGAGCCTGCCCAGATTTAAGGGGAGCAAACAAAGACCCCCCCACATCTC